GGGGGGGGGAGTAGAAGGGTCAACTGTCACTGGGGCAATACTCGGATGCATGATGAGATTCTGTAATCGAGTTTTACTTGGTTTCCTCAATTATTGACCAAATCTCACAAATAAGTCAAGGTCACTTTGGGCTTCGGACACCAACAAATACCGGGGAAGTTATCCAACATCTCTCAAAATCTGAAGTCTGCGCCTGAACCAAATTAAACAGTTTCCTCGACCGACAACAACCACTTATATTACCGCACTCCATTCTTCAGACTGATTGCCCCAGGGGTTATCCAGTTTTCTTAATAATTTTTCTACATACAGATGTGATTGAACTGTGTTGCAAAGTACATTCCAGCTTGCAACCCAGAATCTGTTATCTTGGATATATGTGCCTAACGAAAATTTGTAACTTCTCTGTTCAAAATGTTTCATTTTGCGGAAATTTTGCGAATCGAAATCGTTCATCATTTGGTTTCCTATTCGACGTTCATATCACATGCAATCCAAGTTACCAATTCCATTAAACAATTCTGAATACAAAAAAATGACAGATCTGGTAAACCAACCGATAACAACAATAATAAGCTTCACGGTTATGTTGATCGAACTTCAGTTATTTGACAAAATCGCAAAACAATCATCATTAGGAAGAGGTGTGAAACTGGTCTTGTCTGCCACGTGAATGTGATTGCAAATCCAATTATGATCTCGCTAAGCGTAAAGCCAACATTTTTGCTTAAAGACAGCTTTTGGAATATTAAAGATTTTCAAACAGGTCTGAGTACAGTTTGTATACCAAAACAATCACGGTACAGCAATCATTATAAAAAGAAAACGATCCGTTATTTACTCGAGGGCATGATACTGCTAGGTTGCCCAGGTTAAAGCGGCTGAATTTTCTTAGGGAGTTCACAACCGGAACCTTCGACAAATCAGAGCCTGACCCGCAGGGCAGCGGGGCGGTGTGTGAAAACCACAATCCATTGGGAACAGTGCCCAGTGCCCTTCGGAACGAATCAAACGACCAAGCTGCCCGATCCACTCAGTCGAGCCGGCGACCACTACCACGACCAGGAAGGTGTGTGTGTGTGTGTGTGTGTGAGTCGTACGCCTTTTCTTGGTTGGTCTGAAATCAGGGTTTTAGCCAACTCTCTTAGGTGAACTGCTACTGGTTACCAACCCAGTTATAGCCACGGATAATAGCTTTTCGTCCTTTCAGTCTGGTGGGGAAGCACCTATACTACTAGAAGACTGTGGGTAGGACCTCCTCAGCAGAAGTTATTTAAGACGCTTGGTCGTGTGGGAGTAGTTCGCGAGGTGTAATGGAGGTGTGATCAGTCATAACTCCAAACTACCCACCCCGACCATACTGAGGCTTTCGGAGGCCCAGTCTTTTGACAAAGTGAAATTGCTTATTTTGAAAGAATCCGTAACACTCAAATTTTATGCCTAAATTTTTGAATTTCCCTCCCTATCTAGTTTAGTTTACAAGAATGAATATGAGTCTTGGCTACTGAACTTTAATTTCCAGGATTGATCATGCATACCTCAGAGCCTCATTCTATGATCACGTCGTCTAATCCGCTTCAATCAGTCCTCCACCGCGAATCCCAATGTACTGAATTTCGGTTTTATCGACGGAGGAGGAAACATAAGTCTCCTCATAGATGAAGCCCTACGATACGTACTTCATTTCTATGTACTGCAGATCAATCATCGCCAGAACTAAACCCAGTACATTTATTAAAAGGCAATATATATATATATATATATATATACGTGTACATATCGCTTCCCCAAAATAGGCTTAAAACTAGTGTGCTAATTATCCGGCTTGTAGACCTCGATATAGAAACTGCAGTTAGTCGCTTTTGTACAGATTACGATCGACGGGGAACACGGATGATTGATGTTAGTGCCCCGTTGCTTGGGCCTCTCGGAATACCTTGAATGCGAATCAAACATCCAATCGGATTAGCAGATGTTATGTTGTACTAAATTGTGACCGGTTGATATCGAGAACTCCAAACTCGACAGTACCTACAAGATCGATTGCGGCTCATAGGAGAGAGAGAAGAGCACACGCGGTGGTCGCCTCAATTGATTGCGGTTACGCTTTGTTTTAATCTTTTTCCCATTTGCATGTTGGGAATTTTAAAAATAGATTGTACTAATTATTCAGTTTAGAGATAAGCCATCACCGAACAAGTTATTTCTTTGTATTCTCAAGCGAACGAGATGAATGAAACTCAGATTTTTGGATTGATTAAATGGAAATGTATGTAGATGAGCTTAACCACGCTTTCAGCACATAAAAGTTCCAAAAAGTGTTTGTGCAGTGAGAGGCGGAATTGACAGGTTAAACTCTTGGACATCGAGTGTTGACACACATCAGGTGAATTCTTTTAATGGCTAGATTACTGTCATTCGACAAGTACTTCGAATAAGTTCTTCAAATCTCCATGATCTCGGAAACAATATAGGTCATTGTCTAGGCCATTTGACTGCCGACAGTAATTCAAGTCGGCAATTTAGTTATAATTTCTTTTGGCTACCAAAAGTAACAGATGAAGGATGGTTATGGAATAGTTCACCAAGACCGAATCCCTCCTAAATGCGAGACTACTTTGGATGTTCTATCGTGGGCGCCCAAACAGAATGCTGAGACCTTCGCTGACGTTCATTCATGTTCGAGCTTCTTGTGCTGCATATTTACTCTGGACCCGCACACAANAAATACCAAATTGACAGCTGCGATGCCAATGAGAATAAGTTAATTGCAACGTACCGAATATGTGTGTTTGATAATCAACACGACTTACGAAATCAGTCATCTGCTTTCCTGGAACTATTTCCCCGTCGTTCACATACTACTATTCGCCCTAATCTGAGCAGAGCGAAGCAGTCACAGTTCCGGCCTCCACCCCGACTATCTCATTACACAATGCGTATCAATCCCGTTTTCCTCGCTCGATATTTCAAATTATATCTGAAGAAGAATAACTGTGCACATATAACAAGTTTTTATTCGTTTGTTCCGCATTGCGTGAACGAGGAGATTGCACTGACAAAGAGATTCCATTTACCCCGGGAGGTTGGGGGATGGAGGATCGCTCCGATTCCGGCTCACCTGAACCCTGCTGCTCTGTCCGGTCATCTCTTGTCTCGTTCCTCTCGGCTGCTTTTTTGATATGAACATATCTAGCACAGAATTCTGAACTACACACGCACACGCACACACACACACACATTACACGAACACACGCACAGGGAAACCGACGAAGTTATCAGCAACTGTAACACTATAGTTTCGGTCGTATTGGTGAGTTCGATGGTCACAGTGGTGTTGATGATGATGATGATGATGATGATGATGATGATGATGATGATGATGACGATGTGAAATGAAGTTGGTGCTCAGGACATTGATGACAGTCTTTGTTTCTCACCGGTATAGTACATTTTCGTTCAGATATCTGAACCGATAGACAGTTGAAATGAAGAGTGAGCTGCGGCAACAACGGCGCGGTTGTCGGCGGCGGCGGTGGGGAGAGGATCGAACTGGAAGAATGACAGAAAATGCGATCAAGTGAGCAGGTGAGCGGAAGAGGGAAAGAAAGCAACAGTGGATGCTGTTTCACAGTAGAAGGTATGGGATATACAGTGGGGATGGATTGATTCAGTTAGGCGGTTTGCAGGACTACAACCATCCGTGCAATTTTAGCGGTCAGGCAATCCAAAAGAAAAAAGAAAACAGTGATGGTCGAGGATGATCGAACCACAGAAGAATGTATAGTGGAATGATATCAGAAGACATGTCATCAACATAACCATATTGATACATAAGTGGGTATATATATATATATGTACATTATAGACCTGGGGTTTATTGCTCTCAATCAGTTAAAGGTGAAGATATGGTACATAGTGCCTCCAGGTCAAGGAGAGCAAAGGTGAGTAGGTAGTTGATTTGAACAGGTATGTGTTTGGATGTGTGTATGCGTGTGTGTGTGTGTGTGTGTGTGTGTGTAATGAGGCATTCGAAGTCTGGTAACTCAAGCCCCAGCAGAACAAAATTATCTCCGTCAAAATTCTTCGTAGAAAAAGAAACATATAAATTCCGTGAGAACGTAACTCATTTCAAGGGCTTCAGCTGCGCGGAATCTGGATTGAAGTCACATAAACAGCCTGTCAGTGAGGCGATACGAGGTCAGAACGAGCGGCGGCAGCGACAGTGGACAAGTGAGCGATCGGAGTGTCACATAAAGAAACGGAATGTATGCNTCTTCTTTCGTGCTAATCAATGGGGAAGGCCGAAATAACTTTGTCAGTCACCATTTACATAGTTTCAGTTCCGGGTGTGGGGGAAAAAATAAAGACTGATTTGGAATGATGGCGAACGAATTGCATTGAAGTCGTTTGCTCAATTGCACTGTCAGGCCATAGAATGCTGAATGAGGCGAACAAGAACCAAACTTCCTGTCCTAGGAACACCCTGATAATAAGGCTGCGGCTTCTGCACATGCGTATAAGGCGTAGTATTGCATGAGATTGTCCGGTTCACTCTGTTTTACCGGATCCGGTAGAACTTTGGGTCCAACTGTACCCAGTGAGCTTGGTGTGAACGGGGTGGGCAAGTACTGGGAGACAAATTTACCCAATTGCATATAATAGGCTGCCATCTCCGCCGAACAAACTTCAGGTGTGTCAGTTTGAGTTCCATTGAGTGCAACAGCTGTTGTTGTTGCTGTTGTTGTTGTTGTTGCTGTTGTCGCTCCTGTGCCTGATGCCGACAAAGACGAGGGTGGTGGTG